TTGTCCTTCTTTAGACCAGAAACACCCACAAAACCTACTGTTTTGGAGATACTTTGACTCCAACTGTCTCGCATCCTCACTTTTCATATTTTTCCAACTTCCAACACGTGAAGAACTGTCTGTTGACTTGTTGCCCCACTGACGGGTGTCTTTGTACCGAGACAGTCAATGTCAGTCACTTCACCTGTTGGTAGATTTAATGTTGTGGCAGATCGGTGTATGTATCTGTGTGCAAACTATTCTAATATATCTTCAGCTCTGAAACAACTGTTCTGTTCAAGTCTGATGAGTGGGAGGTATGTCTACCTTAATGTCCTGGACACAAACACGCGGCACAGCCCAGCCCGAGGAACGCTGTCGTCCTGCAGTCTTTCATTAGACGAAGCACCCAGTAGAGCAGTAAAGTGTTCGTGTGTCTGAGCGCGCACATGTGCATTAGAGTGTGTGTTTCCTGTGTGTTCCCAACAGCAGCATTTGAAGAGCTCCAGGTAATTACCGCCTCCCTCCGCTCTCCCCACAGGAAACACTCCTCATCGGAAACTTCATTGAAACACACTTCATCGGAAACACGACGGAGTGTGTGTGTGTGTGTGTGTCAGAGAGCTCTGCTGTGTGAACAAGGCCGTCTGGGGAAAACACCGGTAGTTCTGCTAACTCGCCAAGGTTGAATTTAGCATGCGGGCAGCGGTAAGAAGAGGGAGCTGGCAGTGGAAGGACCGGCTGGTGTGTTATGTAGAGCCTGGAGAACATTGACAAGGCTGAGCTGAGGCTTCTCTCTTGAGGTGCACGCTACAGGTGCCGCGAGCCAAAGTGCTGGGCTGTCACCGACTCTCACTTCAATTTGAAAACTACATTCGCTTCGTGTTTCAGGTTGAGCTGTTCTTTAGTGGCGGGCGTATTGATCTGCAAAGCATCGATTCTACAGGTACAAAGTGTTGTTTTGGGGATTGATTTTAGTGTCCAGAGAAGCTCATTGTATTCACAAGGGGGAAAGAAATTGAACAGCTTCTTTAGTATATTTCCAGATTTCATTCTGGGGGGAAATATCATTTAATTGCAGCAT